GGGGGGGGGGGAGGGGTTAGATGCCGCTTTTTTTTGCCGCGGGGGAGAAGAGATGGACGATCGGCCTCTCGTGTATTTCACGGCAGGCAGCAAAGAAAGGCGATTTCTCCCGGCAGCCGCCTGGACGATGCGCGGAAATATACAACAACAAACAGCGAAATCAACGAATATGAATGCGCCCTGTGCAGAGACAGAAGCGTTCTTTGAAAACAGTTCTGTCCGGCAACCAAGGTTAGCCATCCCGTCCAAAATGTCCTTCACCTTGCCTTCTTTTTGTCCCCGACGGGCGCGAGCACCGCAAGGGTGCGAGAGATGGTTACCCGCCTACGGCCAACCAAGTGGGTGAGCATAGAGAGCCCGACGCCCCTACACGGAATAGCACTCGATCGACGGGATGGTTTCACTAAGCCACCATTCTTGGTGTTGGCACAATCAAAGCTTATCTTTGGAGCAATCGAGATTCGAACATCGAAAATCGAGGGGGGGTGTACGCGTAGTCGTGCATGCCGTGTCGTTAGACCATTGACCTCGCATCCCTACAAAGCCGGGACGGAGCACGCCGGGTTCTCACCGGACCAGGCTCTCACATCACCAAGCGCGAAGCGCCGTGAGATATTCGGCGAGTCGCATGAAGGGTGCGCTGCATCCTGCTAAGGGTGTTCGGCATCTTGTGCTTACTTCCTTGCGTACGGATGACAGCTGCGTATGAATTAATTTATTTTCTGGTGCTTTCACTTCCAGAGACAGTTGTAAGCACTGTGTAACTGCCTCGAGGGTGCTTGACCATTTTAACACAACGTGGTGCGATCATCCCCCTTGCGCGGAGCGAGGGTTCTCCACCCCGCACAACATGATCTACTCGACCACCATTATGGTTACCCCCAAAAAAAAAAAACGGAGGAAAAAAAAATCGTTAACAACCTGGTTGCCGAGTTCACGAAGTGAATTGGCTTGTTTTACAACGTCGTTGCCAAGCGACGAAAACCCAACCCCGATGGCAAACACCGGGGGGGGAAGCTTGTTTTTCAACGTCGTTGCCAAGCGACGAAAACCCAACCCCGATGGCAAACACCGGGGGGGGAAGCTTGTTTTTCAACGTCGTTGCCAAGCGACGAAAACCCAACCCCGATGGCAAACACCGGGGGGGGAAGCTTGTTTTTCAACGTCGTTGCCAAGCGACGAAAACCCAACCCCGATGGCAAACACCGGGGGGGGAAGCTTGTTTTTCAACGTCGTTGCCAAGCGACGAAAACCCAACCCCGATGGCAAACACCGGGGGGGGAAGCTTGTTTTTCAACGTCGTTGCCAAGCGACGAAAACCCAACCCCGATGGCAAACACCGGGGGGGGAAGCTTGTTTTTCAACGTCGTTGCCAAGCGACGAAAACCCAACCCCGATGGCAAACACCGGGGGGGGAAGCTTGTTTTTCAACGTCGTTGCCAAGCGACGAAAACCCAACCCCGATGGCAAACACCGGGGGGGGAAGCTTGTTTTTCAACGTCGTTGCCAAGCGACGAAAACCCAACCCCGATGGCAAACACCGGGGGGGGAAGCTTGTTTTTCAACGTCGTTGCCAAGCGACGAAAACCCAACCCCGATGGCAAACACCGGGGGGGGAAGCTTGTTTTTCAACGTCGTTGCCAAGCGACGAAAACCCAACCCCGATGGCAAACACCGGGGGGGGAAGCTTGTTTTTCAACGTCGTTGCCAAGCGACGAAAACCCAACCCCGATGGCAAACACCGGGGGGGGAAGCTTGTTTTTCAACGTCGTTGCCAAGCGACGAAAACCCAACCCCGATGGCAAACACCGGGGGGGGAAGCTTGTTTTTCAACGTCGTTGCCAAGCGACGAAAACCCAACCCCGATGGCAAACACCGGGGGGGGAAGCTTGTTTTTCAACGTCGTTGCCAAGCGACGAAAACCCAACCCCGATGGCAAACACCGGGGGGGGAAGCTTGTTTTTCAACGTCGTTGCCAAGCGACGAAAACCCAACCCCGATGGCAAACACCGGGGGGGGAAGCTTGTTTTTCAACGTCGTTGCCAAGCGACGAAAACCCAACCCCGATGGCAAACACCGGGGGGGGAAGCTTGTTTTTCAACGTCGTTGCCAAGCGACGAAAACCCAACCCCGATGGCAAACACCGGGGGGGGAAGCTTGTTTTTCAACGTCGTTGCCAAGCGACGAAAACCCAACCCCGATGGCAAACACCGGGGGGGGAAGCTTGTTTTTCAACGTCGTTGCCAAGCGACGAAAACCCAACCCCGATGGCAAACACCGGGGGGGGAAGCTTGTTTTTCAACGTCGTTGCCAAGCGACGAAAACCCAACCCCGATGGCAAACACCGGGGGGGGAAGCTTGTTTTTCAACGTCGTTGCCAAGCGACGAAAACCCAACCCGGTCGAGAGGGGGAGGGGGCTTGTTTTACAATGTCGCTGCCAAGTGAAGAAAACCCAACCCCGACGATGGCAAACACCGGGGGGGGCGGCTTGTTTTTCAACGTCGTTGCCAAGCGACGAAAACCCAACCCCGATGGCAAACACCGGGGGGGGAAGCTTGTTTTTCAACGTCGTTGCCAAGCGACGAAAACCCATCCCCGATGGCATACCCCGGAGGGGGAGCGAGGGGGGGTGCCATCCCTCACATCACCCGCGTGTACAGCAGTCCTTGCCACCTCAGTCAAACATGTACCACCACCGTAGGCTGACGAAAAGTTATGATACACCACCCCCGGACCGATTTTCAAAGCTCGATTGCTGTACGACATGGAGGAGGATGTACAAGGCAAGCGATAGAGTCTACTGCTGTGAAGCTCTCGACGAGACGTTTTCAACGTCGCCATATTTGACATCGTGGCGTTTTGAGTTCTGCCACAAAATCCTACTGAGGGAGAGTAGGTGCTGGTTTTTACTGGCTCGAGACCCCAATTGGCAACGTGGGAAATCTTTAAGGTGGAGCGATGATGACGCTCTCTAGCAACAGCGCGCAGAGGCACCCCCAACATGAATGGAACGCGTCAGAACGCGCTCGCTTGAGAACACTGGCATTCAATTTGTTTGAGGGCCATCTTGAGGGCTTTGCACTGAAGCAGCGCAAGACGGCCGATTCGATGGGATGACTTCGAGCGCACACCTACAGTAGTACCTCCGGGGTTCACTGAATGAAGTGCGTGGTTCCTCTAAGCTTCTTACACTGAAAATAAGCGGTCAGGCAGACAGATGTACTTGTTTCCTTCATGCAGTGAAAGTTCTAGAGACCGGCCGGTCACTTGGAGGAATATAGAAAGGCAATCAATGTGATTATGTGCCAAAACAGAAGTCGAGCATGTTGTTGACCGTGCTACATAATACTCCCCAACATGAAATAATCACGGTCCCATGCGCTTTCTTCGAACACTCTCACTATCCCTTTTTCGTTCTTCTTTTGTCTTGACTTGCAAGAGGACCGGGTGCTATTCTACCGGTTCCCCCCGCGGGGCTTCAAATGCATAAATCGCTAGGCCATATGCCGTTCCCGTGAGCGGATAACTTGTGCAAGATAGGTGTGTGTTTTTATATATAGGTGTGTGTGTTGTGTTTTCGTCCTATTTATTATGGCGACAGTCCCCCCATTTTTCGCGGTGAGACGTGTACTACACTTCTCAGCGTATGTAGAGTCGTACAACTACAACCATCCAGGGTCACACAGGAGGGGTAAACACCAGGGCTTTTTTCTTGTTTTTATTTCTTTTCATGCCCCACCTTCCTCCTGCGGTGCGTGCTGAATTTTATCGAGAGAAGGGTCCAGCCGTCCCTTTCCATCGTCAACGGTGCTAACGTCGAAGTTTGGTACTCACGAGAGCGATTTAGCTATATTTCGCTTTCACCCGCACATTTCGTAAATTCGTCACCCCATGGGGATTCGAACTCACGACCTCTGCGACTAGCGGATTACGAGGATACCACTAGATAGACCACCGGGGCGACCGGTGTACGAAAGCATGAAAGCAGCCTTTTTGCGCACCCTTTGTTCATTTGGTGACAAATATGCATGCTGTTCATATCAATTTCTTCACTTCTTCCCACGAACGAACGTCTTAAGGACAAGCGGTAGGCAAGTGAAAATGAGTACAAAAACAAGCACCACACGAAACAAACCGAAAGAACACGACAGGCTAAGAGCCCCAAGGCATTGACAGCAACAAGCACAGCACCCACCCACACACGCACCTAGTACAGACATAGGACTCCCCCATGACGCTCCCTCACGCCCCCCCAGATCGTGCCTTTTAGCAGGACTTGTGTGCTCAACCGCACTGAGACTGACTGACGTCTTATTCTTGGTCAGCCGGCTGGTTAGCGCGGTCGATGCTAATAATAATGAACACACACTCACCACGAAAAACTCGTGACTCATGGGGGGACGAAAAAATAAACAAAAATAGAGAGACATCATAGCGGGTCAGCCGGAACTCCCCCTTCCCCCCCCCTCCTTGGCGCAAACGACAGTCAGTGTGTTTCGGCGTCATCATGACGAAACAAACCAATCCAAGAACGGTGAAATTCAATGAAAAAAACTGCCTGCTATGTACTCGTTGCTCAATCAACCATGGGAGAATCAACAATGGCGGAAGTACATCGTAACCAAAGATTCTCAGCTGGAGGCAGGCATGCGCCTTACCTCTTACCTTAGGGATGACACAAAGAAAGTCAAAACGACAGCAGAGCAGCAGTCAGTGTGCTTCGGCATAGACTATACTTCTAAGTAGTCTACATTGCGTCACCAACAAAACCGAAAAATACCCAAAACAAACACGATAGACCCCCCCCCCCACCATTGGGTTATTTTATGGTTGTAGACAACACCAATAGATCCAACAACACTCGTACTCCTCCAGATCACGCTCGTTCATCATCATGCGCTACATGTACCTGCGGAACGTCATGATGCAAACCAACAAGAAAGTG